GGGTAATGGTGGAAGGGGTCGGGGCCCGGGTAGTTCGAGGCCCGGACTGGAAGTGGGGGAAGCAGGACGGCGGCGAGGGCCATGTGGGCACCGTGCGGAGCTTCGAGAGCCCCGAGGAGGTGGTGGTGGTGTGGGACAACGGCACTGCCGCCAACTACCGCTGCTCCGGGGCCTACGACCTGCGCATCCTGGACAGCGCTCCCACCGGTAAGCCGCCGCCACCCGGCCCGGGGCCGCACTCGGTGGGAAGGCGCGGGCTGTGGCGGGCGTCGTCGGGTCGCCCTGCGGCGCGTTGCGCTGGGCCAGCGGACAGGGGAAGAGCCAGAGGGGATTTGGGGTTCAGTATCCAGGGGACAAAAACTTGCCCCTAAGGGACACGATGGCAGCACGGTCACCGGGATGCTTTCAAGCCTGGAAGACACAAAGCACCAGTTAGATGACAGACAGGGTCCCCTCCTTCTCTTGGGAAGGGTTCTGGAGAGGCTTGTCTAATAAGCCTTTGAGATTAATCAGCCACCAAGTGATAACTGTCTGAAGAGAGGCTTGCCTTGCCATATGGTGCTTAGTTGACCGGTTACAATCGTCGAGGGGCCGTTGGTACCTCAGATTTGTTGAGGAACCCTCCCCCCCTTTGCCATCTGTGACACAGTGATTAGGAATCAGTAGCTGAATGCTAGTTGATACTTGGTGGGATTCTTCTTTACCCAGGTTGCTTAGTTTTTAATGTCTTTACGTATCCAGAGAATGAAAAACCCTGAACTCTTGAATCACTTCTTTGGTTAAATACTTTGCCAAGTTGAAGGGACATAAAGGACACCTGATGTTCTTTTGGTTAGTGTCTCAGGCAAAGCCTTATCCACTGACCTAGCAGTGAGTTGGTGTTCTCCATTCACTGAACTTTAGGGGTATATGTGTTACTGACTCTGGAGTTATTGGCTCTCTTGAAATCATTATTATATACAGTTTAATTCAGGGGCCCGCAGGTGGCGTGGTGGTTAGGGGCGCTGGATTCCCACATGACTAATGGCTGACTACAATTCGATTCCCGGACCTGGCGGCTTGCCTTCTTACTCTCTCTCTCTGGTCAAATTGAAATAAACAAATGAATAAATAGGTAAATAAAGTTAAATAAAATAATTCTTTAAAAAATTTAATTCATTTTCAAATAGATTTATCTCGATCAGTAAAAAAAAAACAAGTTAATGTAAGCCATCTCTGTTTTTGACCAATTCTAATAATTGTTTCCTAACTAGTTTATTTATTTATTTTGGCTAGAGGGCCTATGCACTCATTGGAGAGAGGGAAAGTAAGAACTTACCCTCCCCCAGGGGAGAGGGCCAAGCTGTAATCTCTTTTCCTTCATTCTCCTGGGATTTTGGGCTCACATGCTTCTGAGGCTGGTGTGATTTTTCAGGCTGCCGGGTCTGGTACTTGAACAGCTATTGACTTGTGGGAGTCCAGCACCTTAACCACTGTGCCACCTGCTGCCCCCATCTTACCTCCCCCTTGCTTCACGCCCCCAGCTTTTTATACCACAGTATGTGTGTCCCATTGAGAACCCTCCAGCTGTGTCGTTGTGATGCAGTACTACATTCTTCCAATTCTCTATCCTTATTATCCTGGGCACATATGTACTCAGCCAGGTTTTTTTTTTTTTTTTTTTTTTTTTCAAGCTGTCTGTGAGTAACAAACACTAATCTGCCATGTGGGATCTAGCTTCCTATGTATAGTGTGAACCACTATTCTACAGGGCTGGCCATTAGGTAGCCTTTTAAACATTTAAAAAAGAGTGTAGGGGAACCAGCAGTTAGTGTAATGGCAATGTCGCTGAACTCCCATTTAGTTGACCGCCTTTTGAGTCCAGGACCTGGTGGCTTATACTCACACTGGGCGCGTGTGCATGAGTGCCCAAGATCCCGAGAGGAGAATGGAGGAGAAGGGATTGTGGTGTGGCCATCTCCCCCCCCCCCCCGGGGTGATTTCTCGCTTTCTGTTCTTCTGTCGCGCCCTATAGCAAAAGCCTCTCCAAAAAAAAAAGGGTGTAGGCGCATGACTAAAAGAAAATGAAATGAAAAGGCTCAACGGTACAAAAAAGATCAGTCATTATTATTAGTTTCTTGTGTATTCTTACAGAATATTCTGCATATACAGAGTATGCCTATTCTCACAAGCATTTATGTAAGCAGATTCTCATAATGAGAATATGCTGCAGAATTACTCTCCCTTTAAAGTACAAATGGTACTAAACTATATTTGCTCTTCTGCATTTTTGTTTCTTTCACTTAATAATTTAAATTGGTGATTGCTCCATATTAGCTCATTCAAGTTTGTCTTACTCTTAGCTGCAGAGTATTCCAGTGACTGGATGTAGTTACTTATTTAACCAGTACTTTATGGATGGGATTTATATTGTTTCAGGTTTTCTTATTTACTGTGATGCAATAGGTAAATATTTGTGCATATGTGCTGAGTATTTCTGAAGAAGTGGAATTTGCTATATCAAAGTGTGCACATTTTGATAGATGTTGACTAATTGCTCTCCAAAGACATTTTACCGATTTACACTCCCAGCAGCAGCGTATGAGGCATATCCTGTTTCTGCACAATCTTTTAAGTTTTATTATTGTAAGAGCTCAAGCTGAAGTCTACCACAGTTGAAAAATATAGAAGAATTCTTGAAATTATTAATGGTAGGTTTATATTGAAATCTTTCCAGGATAAATAAAAAGTGTAATAGGTTCTGTATTACAGTCATTTAAAAAAAACCCAAAAAAACAACAACCAGGATGTTAATGTTTTCTGTCTCTTACAGGATATAGTATATCTGTCATTAATAGTTAATCTTCATAAAAAAGCAGATTTTTTCAGAAGTATGCCTTAGAATCTTAGTTTCTTTTCTTTTTTTTGGAGAGGTTTTTGCTATAAGGTGCATGCACTTGCCAGAAAGAGACAGGGTCCGGAACTCAGTGATCAACTTCATGGGAGTCCAGCGACATAGCCATTGTGCCAACTGCTGGTCCCAAATCTTAGTTTCTTTTACATGGTAATTTTTTACATTAACTTATGTGTAGTAATTCATCTTGTTCCTCAATTCTTTTATTCTTTCTTTTTTTTTTCTTGATTGCCAGAGGAGGGGTCCTGACAAGTGGCATGGTGGTTAAGGCACTGAACTCCCTTGGCTGTGATTTGAGTCCTGGACTTGACTTTCTTACTTTCTCTCCTTCTATCTCTCTGGGGAGCATGTGTGCCTTGTAGCACAAATGAAAATAATGATAAATAAAATTAAATAAATAAATTTAAAAAACCCCAAAAACTTCAATTCCCAGAGGGTGTGTGCAGAGAGAGAGAGAGAGAGAGAGAGAGAGAGAAAGCATGTATTACCAGCTGGGCCTCAGCTGACTTTTTAAAACAAACATGTAAAAGCATATCTAAGTTCAGGATAGCTTGCATGAAATGCTTGTTGAAATGTATTTTAATTTCTTCAGTGTTTTTTTTTTTTTTTTTTTTAACACTGGAACAAATAGAAGCTCTTGGCTCTGATTTAGCCCAGTACTATAATACAGATTGTGTATCCCAATCTAAAAATCTGAAATCTGATTGTTCTAAAATCTGGAACTTTTTGAGCACTGATATAATGCCACAAGTGGAAAATTCCACACTTGATCTTATGTGGCAGGTTACAATCAAAACACTGTGATAAAAAATACTTTATAAAAGTACCTCCAGGCTATGTGTTTAAAGTGTGTATGAATATGAAACATAAATGAATTTTATTTTTAAACTTGGGTCCTACTTCTTAAGATATCTTCTTATATATGTGTAAATACTTCCAAAATCTGAAATACTGCTAGTTTTAAGTATTTTGAATTAAAGGATGTTCAGTCTGTGCTACTTTCAGTTTTTTCATTTTTCGTTCAAAAATGCATTTATTTTTAATTGTCAGAAGATACATGTGCTTGCCAGAGAGAGATGGAGAAAGAAGGAGAACGTACCCCCCAACTCCCGCCAGAGAGAGACAGAGAGAAGGAGAAAATACCTCCGTGCCCCTTTGGGCATGGTCACACCACAATCTTCTTTCCTATTTCTCTATCCTATCAGGATTTTGAGCATCCACACACACAGGCCTGTATTTTCCAAGCTGCTGGGGTTGGAATCCAGCTCACTTAACTACTAGGCTATGGGGCTAGCCCCAATATACTTAATAGTTAATGTCCATTAACATTTTATTACATTATAAAAGATTTATTCTATTTGTACAGTACTTGAAATATATACATGATATTAAAAAAATCTTTTTTTAGAGAGATTTTTGCTATAGGGCATGTGTGTTTTCTAAAGGGACTGGGAGAGACAGAAAGGGAGAAATTACCTCCCAGGGTGGATGGCCACGCCACAGTTCCCCCTCTTCCATTTTCCCCTTGGGATCTTGGGCACATTCACACATGTGCCCTGGGTGAGCTTTAAGTTGCCAAGTGGGGGACTTGAACCATGGGGACTATGTGGGAGTCCAGCGATGAAACCATTATGCTATCTGCTAGTCCCGTGAAATTAAAAAATTTTAAATTTAACTTTTCAGTTTGGAATAATGCCGGGATTTTTAAAAAAATGCAGAACTAGTAAGAGTTTTTTTTTTTTCTCCTTACCCATCTTCTTCAGATGTTAGCTTTTTTTTTTTTTTTTTTTTTTTTTTAAGGTTTTTGCTGTAGGACTTGTGTGTTCTCCAGAGAAAGAGAGAGAGAATGAGAAGGAAAGTGAGATATCAACCCCCCCCTCCCCCAGGGGGGATGGCTGCATTGTAATCCTTTCTTTTCCTTTCTTCTTCTGGGATTTTGGGCATGTGCAAACATGCTTCCAGTGTGACTTTCAAGCTCCAGGTCCAGGACTTACCAAGGTGTGGTCCACCATGTAGGAGTCCAGCACTTTAACCACCGTGCCACCTACTGACCCTCAGATATTAGTATCTTTGCTTTTTTTAAAAAAATTAATTTATTACTGTTTTTAAATTTTATCAGAGAGAGAAAAAAGGGAAAGTGAGAAAGCAAGCTGCAAAGTCCGGGACTTTAACCGTGGTCAGCCGTGTGGGAGTCTAGTGCCTTAGCCACCACACCACCTCTAGCCCCTTGATGTTAGCATCTTACCAGTATAGTTATGAAACCAGAAAAATCAACACTAATCCAGTAGTGTTAACTGATCTTTAGATCTTTTTC